GCTCCATGCAGGGAGCCCAACGTGGGACTCCATCGGAGACCCCAGGATCATGCCCGGGCCGAAGGCGGTGCTAAACCACTGAGCAACCCAGGCTGCCCAGCAATGATTTTTTAAAAAAATAAACTTTTTATTAAAATACAACTTATCCACAGAGGAATGCACCCAGGTAATTTTCACAAAAAGTAGACACACCTGTGTAACCATTTCCAGTTCAAGACAAAAAAACATCACTCAACATCTCGGAAATGCCCCACCCCCCAGTTTGGGCCGCAATGATTGTAAAGAGGGAATTGGGCAGGGTCTGAAAGCAAAGGAAGGAGGAAGGAAAAGATCCCCCCCACCCACCCACTGGGCTGCTGGGTGGTCCTGCAGACTCAGCAGGAGAACCCCTCCGCTTTGTCTGCACCAGCTAGTGAGCTGGCCTATAAGCGGATGTCAGGGACACACCACACACTTGGTGTCCAGGACCGGCCCTCGGAACTTGGCAAGCAGATTATTAGCCATAGGCAGCCCTGCAGAGAAAGGCAAAGTACAGGGTGTTTGCAGAGACTTACGGACCAGATAAGGCCAGGCTGAAAGCAGGAGGGCAAACAGGGAAGAGGATCGTTTCCTGGCTGGGCCGGCAGTGTGTGTGCCCAAGAGGGTCTGGGAGTGGCTAGTCCCAGGGGCGAGGCCAAACCAGACTCTATTTGCTCCCTGAAGTTTCTATTTGTCTAGGAATGATTCACATGAGTTCCACTGATCAATCCCTCCTCCACCCCTCCCATGGTGAGGCATGGAGGGGCACCTGGGAACATGCACAGTGGTGACAGCAGGGGACCTGTGTTTGAACCCCGCCTCTAAGCTGCATGACTTTGGGAAAGTCACATTCCCTCTCTGACCTCGGTTTCCTCATCCGCAAAATGGGACAATAACATGTACCTACTAAGTTGGTTGTGAAGAGAAATTGAGATCATCCATAATACATTGAGCAAGCAAGCCCTTAATATATGTTCATTCCTTCCCTTTGCCACTTTTTCATTTAGCAAACCTTTATTTGGGACCTAATGGGTAGCAGACAACTGTGCCAGGCACTGGAATGAGAGAAGTGAACAAAACAGGTATGGAAACTGGCTGTCTTCACGAAGCTTAGAATCTAATGAGTGGGACAAACATTAAATAAATAAACAAACAAACACATCCTTGTCATGAAGGAAAAGCCCCGTGCGTTATGAAGAAGAATCTCAGGGGGAGCCCAGGTGGCTCAATCGGTTGAGCAACCAAGTCTTGACATGGCAAATACCCAGGAAAATCAGTTCCCTTCCTGTGCCAGCTCATGATTAACTGTCATGTGATGGTATAGCAACAGTGCATGCGCACGAGCACACATGTGTGCATGAACACATGTACACTGAAGAATACCTACAGGCAGGACACATATGAGCTCAGTCAGGCTGCATATTTGAGGAGAGTGTAATAATGGCACTCTTTATGAAGGTATGCCAGCACCAAGGAGTGATGTGTCCCCTAGGGCTATTAGCAGGAGGGAGCCTACAGAGGATGAGGGAGAGAGCAATCACCAGAACCCCAGAGAATAGTTGTGTGGACTGGGCACCTGACAGGAGCTGGGACCTTCAGAGGAGGGGAGCAGCACTGGGTGGGAAGGAGACTGAGGCAATAAGGGCACTGACCTCAGCCTCTCCTTACCTTCTCATATCCTCCTAGGCCTCCCATGGGACAAAAGCAGATGGAAGCCAGAGGGCAGGGAGCCTGTGGAAATACTCCCTAAAGATCAACCTCCAGAGAGCAGAGCAGGGGAAGGATGAGGTGAATCTGGAGAAACAAATGGCAGAGACACAGCACAGGATCCATACCCACTGGGCCTCTTTAGAATGTAAGTGGTGGATATAGCCAATGTAAAAATGGCCTAAGTCCCAAAGGAATACCTGAGGTACCTAACTGGATGTTCCAAGGGTGGGACCTTAGCAACAGCTTGGTCAGTGCTCCCATGATAGCTAGAAACAAATTTCTCAACGTCTCTCAGTTCTGCTTGCCTTCATATGTCAACTTCATTCTCAGGCCACATGTAGTGGGCAAGATGGTGGCAGTAAAGGAGGGATTGGTCCCCAGAGGGAAACTGGCCCTTCACAAGGAAGGATGGTCAGTAGAAGGCAGGAGGAAATGTTACGCATGTCCGCCACAGTTCATGTGTGTGTGCTTACCTTCCATAAACTCAGGTAACCAGGATTGGTACTACTGAAGCCATGCACAGCAGTTTCTTCTGCTTCCCTGTGGCCAGTTGGGGGAATGTGGATCACTCAGGGCCATTCAGCCTCACCTCTACTCTGAAGAGACCTGAGAATTACCTAGCTCAGTGACCCTATTTTATAGGTAGCAAAACTGAGGCCCATTGAGAAGAGCTTTTCACAAGACCACGTAGTTAATAGCAAGTTCAAGACTTAAATCCAGTCCTCTACAGGACTTGTTTTTGTGGTTTTAAAAGATGTTTTATTTTATTTATTTGTTTGAGTAATCTCTACACCCTACATGAGGACTGAACTCACAACCCTAAAATCAAGAGTTGCATGCTCCTCCAATTGAGCCAGCCAGGCACCCCTACAGGACTTGTTTTTTAAAAAGAAACAACAACAACAACAACAACAAAAAGAAACAACAGAGGTGCCTGAGTGACTCAGTTGGTTAACTGTCCAACTGTCTTGGTCTCGGCTCAGGTCTTTTTTTTTTTTTTAAAGATTTTATTTATTTATTCATGATAGACATAGAGGGAGAAAGAGGCAGAGACACAGGCAGAGGGAGAAGCAGGCTCCATGCAGGGAGCCTGATGTGGGACTTGATCCCGGGACTCCAGGATCACGCCCTGGGCCAAAGGCAGGCGCTAAACCATTGAGCCACCCAGGGACCCCCTCGGCTCAGGTCTTGATCTCAGGGTCATGAGTTCAAGCCCCATGTTGGGCTCCATGCTGGGTGTGGAGACTACTTAAAATTAAAAAAAAAAAAAAAAAGGAAAGAAAAACAGAAAACACCTCTTGAGAATGTTTAGAATGAGTAAGGAAGAATAGATGGAAGGAAGGGGAAAGGAGATAGAAGACAGACATGGACACAGTAAGAAATTAAGACAGTATGAAAGAATATACAATGAAAAGTGATTTTCCCCCACGGCAGACTCCTAGTTCTCTCTGGAGAGGTGATGATGACCAAGTCTCCTGTATATCCTTTTTGGAAATTATCAAGGCAAATGCAGAAGTGCCTGTATATTTATAATATATTATTATTGTTACTATTATTATCTTGGAGACCTTTCTATATTAGCACATAAAGGTCTGCCTCATTTTTTTGTAGTGGATGTAGAATATTCTACAATATGAATGTAGTCTAATTTATTCAACTAGTCCCAATTATGGCCATTTAAGCTGTTTCTATTCTAGTCTTTTGCTTCTATAAACAATGCTGCAATGAACATCTTTGTACACACCGGGTATCTTTCAATACCTGTGCTCTAGTGGCTGATCCTAAGAGTGGAGGTGGCACCCCATGGCTTTAAAGGGTTCATCCTGACATCACTTCCACTAGAAGGAACTAAGACTGATCCTGTTGGAAGGGATCTTAACCATCATCAAGCCTAGCGGTTCACTTCATATTACATGAGTGAGGAAACTGAGGCCCTGGGTCTGATAAGAGGCTGATGGGAGATTTGGGCTAGACCACTGTGTGTTCTCAAAGAGGTTGTGGAAGGAGGAGGGCAGGCATTGAGAGTTGGGCAGTGCTGGCTTTGTGCCCTGGCCTGCAGGGCAGGGAGTGGTTGACACAACAGGCTCTGGAGCCGGACTCCTGGATTTCATCCTGACTTAGAAAAATAGCCTTTCTAAATTTTTATTTCCTCCCTTGGAAAATGGGGATGATTTGGATCTTCCTTTAGTCTTCCTCACAGAGTTGCAGTGAAGATAAAGGAGACAAGGCCTATGAAGTAGAAGTTGCCTTTTATTACTATTCCCTACTCCTGGCATCTTGGTTCCTGTTCCTTGCAGGGGCATCTCAGGAGTTAATAGGCTCATGAGTTGGAGAACTCAGGGCACACTTGGCCTCCAGCCATGATCTGTGTCTCTGCAGTCAAGGCCAAGTCAAGTAAATTCTAACTCTTCTTGGAAGCTCTGGCTGCCTCCTCCCTCTAGAGAGGGAGGGTCTGGAGCCGGTTGGTCGGTCGGGGGAGGGCTTCAGATGGAAGCCCAGCTAAGCTTCCTCCCTATGCAGGTCTCCAGGGATAGGCACCTGTGCCTGCCCTGTGCCTGGCATTGCTGGTACATTGCCTCCTGGACTCCTCCCAGAAACCCTGCTGGGGCATCATAACTCTCATTTTTGAATAATGTGAGGCTCCCAGAGTTAAGGAGACTTGCTTCTATTTTTTTTTTTTTTTTTGAGACTTGCTTCTAAATAAAGAATTCCCCAGGGCAGAGCTGGGGAGCTTTCTAGAGGGACAGGAGCACATGCTGATGGATTATGAAGTTAATTTATTGAGCCACTGCATTGGGGGTTTATAACGTGGCCTTTCCATCGAGAAGTTGTCTCGCCAAAGGTGATGGAAAAGGGGCACCCCTCTTCACCCCTGCCAGACCTCCTTTCAGCCTCTCCCCTAACTCAGCACCTCCCTCCTGCCTCAGGGCCTCAGAGCCTGTGTACCCCTACCTATGCACCCCCTTCCCCTTCCCCTTCAGACCTCACCCCTGGAAGGCTTCACTGCCCTGTTCCCCACTAATAAGCTCGCCATGATCTGTGTGCTCTCACAATTCTTTGGTCTTTACCCACAGAGCATTGATCACTGCGTATAACCAAATATTTATTTGCGTGGTTATTTATCAGTCTGTGTCCCTGCTGACAGTTCCTTGCAGTCGGCTCTTGTCCCAGGGCTTGGCACCATGATCGACACAGGGTAGGCCCTCAGGTATCTGTGTCCCTCCTCTCTAAAAGGGAATAGCACTACCTGCTATGAGTGTTGTTCTCAAAATTAAATGGGACAAAGCTCTCCAAGGTGCCTGGCCCGGCTCTGGACCATTCTCTAAGGACCTGCATATGTCTCAAGCCGGTGTGGAGCAAAAGGAAGGGAAGAAGGTCCTTGTGGGTTGGCAGGGGTCTCCCTTGCTTTGGATCCCACAAAGGGAGCCTTGTGTGAGACCAGTGGCAGGATGCCTTGTGGGACAGCTGGGACTGGGGCTGCCAGGCCTGGGCTGTGCTGGGCTGGGCACTAGGCCACAGGCAACCCTCTAAGGACCCTTTCATCTGAGTCCCAGCTGCCACTTGGCTGGCTGGCTCAAAGCCCAGCCGCCTGGAGAGGAGAGGGCTGGCAGCTTTGTCTCAGGAAGAACAAAGAGTGGGAGGAGGGCAGAGGGAAGCAGCGCTTGCTCTTGGAGTCAGGCCAAAGGGAAACAAGATCCAGTCATAGGCAACACCAAGGGGCTGTTTGAATTCTTTTGTTGCCATAGCATCAAACAAGACAGGATTGCAAAGAGTATCTCTGGCGGCATGCCAACCCCACCGTGTTAGACTGGAGAATTAAGGCCCAGAGTGGGGCAGAGACTTGCCTAAGGTGACACACGAATGGCTGAGCCAGAATTAGAACTCTGATCTCTTATCTCCCACGGCTGACGGACTCTGAAAGAGCCACTTCATCTCTGGGAGACTCAGAGCCCTCATACACAAAGTGGGGGCCTCATATGTAAAGTGGAGGGGCTGATTCCTATTTTAAATGATGAGGGTCAAATGTCCTCATGGATATAAAAGGAAGATGACGTCCATTTGAGTTGGGCCTTGAGAGCTGTTTTCCAAAGAGAATGACCTATGGCGAAAGGTATTCTGAACAGCATAAACAAAGGCAGGAAGGCTGTGTTTCAGTGCAGCTGGGGCTGGGGAAGAAACAGGAAATGAAGCCAAAAGCCCAGGCTGCTTGATCATATCACAAGTTCCCAGTGTCTCCCCTAAGTGTCCGGGCCTCTTTTCTGGGGTAATGATCCCTCAGAACTCAGTCTCCCTGTAGAATCATCCTGGTTCATGCGGCTGATCAGCCTGCTGGGATGAATTGCACTATGTGAAAGTAAGTGGGCACAGGAGCTGTACAGAGCCTGCAGGAGACTCTCCACCCAGGTATGGTGGGCGGGGAAGCCTGCCTGGAGATCACAGCAGCCTCCCCATGCTCGATCCCATCTGCAGAATCATAGTGTTCGAAGTACACACTGTGCCCAGTGTCTTAGCCCATTTAGGCTGTTATACCCAAAATACCATAAACTGTGTGGCTTGTAGACAACAAATATTTCTTTTTCACATCTCTGGAGGTTGGGAAGTGCAAGATCATGGTGCTGGTAGATTTGGTGTCTGGTGGGACCCCACTTCCTGGTTCATAGATGGCTGTCTTCTCACTATGTCCTCATATGTTAGAAGGAAGGAGCTAGCGAGCTCTCCGGGAGTCTTTTTTTTTTTTTTCTTTTATAAAAGCACTAATCCCATTCATGAGAGATCCAGCCTCATGATCTATTCACTTCCCAAAGGTCCCACTTCCTCATACCATTACATTGGGCAATAGGTTTCAACATAAAAATTTGGGGGGAGCATGAACATTCAAACCATATCACCCAGACACAAAATAATTCTTCATAATTATAGAAAGAGAATTTTGGTTGAGCAAGACATGGGGTCGGTGTGGCTCAGCCAAAGACCAGCTGTGTGTCCTTTTAGCTATTCACTTAACATCTCTGAGCCTTAGTTCCCTCATCTATAGAATAAGTCTAATTGCTTGGATGGATTGATACAAGTGACTATGTTCAGTATAGGTACTCAGCACATGATTATTTTCTTTCCACTTCCTTCCTTCACTTGGCACAGCTGACCCCTCTGCTGGGAGGAATGTCACACAGTCCTCTCTCAACAATCCTCTCCCTCCTTCAAGACCGGGCTTACATGCCACCTCTTCCATGAAGCCTTCCCAGATCTCCCAAATTGAAAAGCTGACTTCTTCCTATTATGCCTTGTGCTTGTCTTATGGTGTTGCCTTTTCTTTTTTATTTTTCTCTTTTATACCTTTTCTTTTTTTTTTTAAAGATTTTATTTATTTATTCATGAGAGATAGAGATAGAGATAGAGATAGAGAGAGAGAGAGAGAAAGAGAGAGAGAGAGAAAGAGAGAGAGAGAAGCAGAGACACAGGCAGGGAGAAGCAGCCTCCATGCAGGGAGCCCAACGTGGGACTTGATCCCGGGTCTCCAGGATCACACCCTGGGCTGTAGGCTGCGCCAAACCGCTGAGCCACCAGGGCTGCCCTCTTTTATACCTTTTCATGTTCACTGCAAATAATGCCATAATGCAAGGATTAAGAAAAAAATCAATGATCTCCCTGTCCATTTTTTTTAAAGATTTATTTATTTACTTGAGAGAGAGAGTGAGAGAGAGCATGAAAGGGAGGAAGGGCAAAGGACAAGGGAGAGAGAATCTCAAGCAGACTCCCCTCTGAGCACAGAGTCCAATGCAGGGCTTGATCCCAGGACAATAAAATCATGACCTGAACCAAAATCAAGAGTGGGACAATTAACTGACCGAGCCACTCAGAGGCCCCTCCCCTGTCTGCTTCTCCCACTATCTTACTGAATAACCAATGGCAACATCCAATGTATTATTCTACACCTTTGTGATTATGCTGACATAATTAGAGATAAATTTATATAAGAAGGGGCTTGTTATGTTTATGTTTTTATGCAAATAGATTCCCACTGTATACACCGCTCTGATGTTTATTTTTAATCACTTAATGCATCATGGATGAATGAATATAGATTTTCCTCATTTGTTTTGTTTTTGTTTTTATTTGTAGCGAATAAAACCCTTTGTATCCAGGGGGTGCCAGGGTGGCTCAATCAGTTGACTGACCAACTCTTGGTTTCAGCTCAGGTCATGATCTCATGGGTTGTGGGATCTAGCCCCATGTCAGGCTTTGCACTCAGCAGAGAGTCTGATGGAGGATTCTCTCCCTCTGCCTCTCCCTCTATTCATGTGAACGTGCACACACACTCTCTCTCTATCAACCTTTAAAAAACCCTTTGTATCCAGATATAATTTCCACCATATAGATTCTATCAAATAACTAAAGATCTCTTTTGTTTTGGAATTTTTAGTTTTTTAATTTTAATTCCAATATAGTTAACATACAGTGTTATATTAGCTCCAGGTGTACAACATAGTGATTCAACAATTCTATACATTCCTCATTGCTTATCATGGTAAGTGTACTTTTTAATTCCCATCACCTACGTCATCCAGTCCCTCACCTACCTCCCCTCTGGTAACCATCCTTTGTTCTCTGTAGTTAAGAGTCTGTTTCTCTTAACTTTCTGGTTTGTCTCTTTTTTTCCCCTTTACTCATTTGTTTTGTTTCTTAAATTCCACATACAAGTGAGATCATATGGTATATGTTCTTTGACTGATTTCTTTTTTTTTTTAAGATTTTATTTATTTCCCCATGAGACACACACACACACACACACACACACACACACACAGAGGCAGAGACACAGGCAGTGGGAGAAGCAGGCTCCATGCAGGGAGCCTGACATGGGACTCGATTCTGGGACCCCAGGATCACGCCCTAGGCTGAAGGCGGCACTAAACCGCTGAGCCACCTGGGCTGCCCCCTTTGACTGATTTCATTTAGCATTATACTCTAGTTCTATCCATATCATTGCAAATGGCAAGATTTCATTCATTTTTATGGCTGAACAATATTCCATTGTGTGTGTGTGTGTGTGTGTGTGTATATACATATATATATACTACATCTTCTTTATCCACTCATCCATTGATGGACACTTGGGCTGTTCCATAATTTGGCTATTGTAAATAATACTGCAGTAAACATAAGGGTGTGTGTATCCTTTTGAATTAGTGTTTCATTTTGAGGGTAAATACCCAGTAGTGCGATTACTGGATCATAAGGTAGTTCTATTTTAAACCCTTTCTTAATAAGATTTTATTTTGGGACCCTGGGTGGCTCATCGGTTAAGTGCCTGCCTTTGGCCCAGGGCATGATCTTGGAGTCCCAGGATCAAGTCCCTCATCAGGCTCCCTGCATGGAGCCTGCTTCTCCCTCTGCCTATGTTTCTGCCTCTCTTTGTCTCTCATGAATAAATAAATAACATCTTTTTAAAAAAGATTTTATTTTTAACTAATCTCCATACCCAAGATGGGGCTCGAACTCACAATCCCAAGATCAAGAGTCATGCTGTACTGACTAAGTCAGCCAAGAGCCACCTATTTTTGACTTTTTAAGGAACCTCCATACCATTTCCCAGAGTGGCTGCACCAATTTGCGTTTCTGCCAACAGTACATGAGGGTTCCTTTTTCTCCACATCCTTCTCAATACTTGTTGTTTCTTCTGTTGTTGATTTTAGCCATTCCAACAGGTGTGAAGTGATAGCTCATTGTGGATTTGATGTGCATTTCCCAGATGATAAGTGATAATGAACATCTTTTCATGTGTCTGTTGGCCAACTGTATGTTTTCTTTGGAGAAATGTCCGTTCATGTCTTCTGCCCACTTTTTAATTGTTTATTAAATTTAATTATTTGTTATTTGTTTTTTGGGTGTTGAGTTGTATCCGTTTTTAATGTATTTTGGATACTAACCCTTTATTGGATATGTCATATCTTCTCCCATTCAGTAAGTAGTCTTTTATTTTGTTTATTGTTTCCTTTGCTGTTCAGCTTTTAATTTTGATGTAGGCCCAATAGTTCATTTTTGCTTTTATATCCCTTGCCCCAAGAGACGTATCTAGAAAAACGTTGCTACAGCTGCTATTAGAGAAATTGCTGCCTGTGCTCTCTTCAAAGATGTTCATGGTTTCAGGTCTCACAAATAGGTCCTTAATCCATTTTGAGTTTATTTTTGTGTGTGGTGTATGAAAGTGGTCCAATTTCACTCTCTTGCATGTGGCTGTTCCATTTTCCCAACACCATTCGTTGAAGAGACTCTGTTTCCCATTGCATGTTCTTTCCTCTTTTGCTGAAGATTAATTGACCATATAATTGTAGGTTTATTTGTGGGCTTTCTATTTTCTTCCAAGATCTGCCTCA